AGTGGGAGCAGTATGCTCGACAGCGACTGGCTAAAGAACGAGGGATAAACTTCAGAATTGGTTCGGAGACAAAATTGGGGCAATTTCACCCTGTTTGCATTGGTCAAATGAATTGGATTTTTGATTTCCCTTCTGTCTACTTCAGGTAAGGGTAGTTAAGTCCTGGAAGTAAACAATCCAAATTTTTTTTTTTAGCTAGACATCAAGATCAATTTGCATTTATACAGCGATTTCACGTTGGGAGGGTATCTCAAAGCACTTTGCAGAGCTGACTGGGAGCCAGAGCTTAGGGGGAAGGAATTGGGGATGAGGGAAGGGAGAAGGCGAGTGGTCGAAACCTGCAAAGAGATACAAGTGACTACATGTGACAAATGCCCACTAACAGACATGTGTCATATCTATACCAATAACAACAACAAGAACAACAACTACTTGCATTTATATAGCGCCCCTTCATGCAGGGTAGGGTCCCAGAGAGTATACCAGTGGAATTGAAATGCACCGCGAGCATATTTTTCCCAAGAGACTTCAAACTCCGGTTTTATTACACAAATAGCAGGGGATTGGCATTCTGAGCAGCGTCTCTCCGACCCTGTCACAGCGAGGCAGATCCAATCTATTATTATAGTGCGGGAGGCCTGTGCGTGCCAGCATTACAATGCAATTTAATCACTAAGTATTGCAAACTCTTCACAGCGTTCCAAACCCGAGTACATTCTCCGTTATGCGACATTGTCGGAGCCACACGGCTGTAAGCAATGACTGATAGCAATCACTTAGATGCAAGTTGTTGCCGTGGTTGTATTTAAAAGTTCAGGTTCAGATCTTTGAAACTGTACCTCTCAAACGTGTTCTCCATCGATTGATTAACGGATTAGGTCAGAGATGAAAGATTAGAAGGATTTCTCCTTAGTGGTGAGAGATGGAAACAAAAATAAGAGAAATATGGGCAAGCCTCACACTTCAAAACAGCGCTGGGCATTATTGGACGTCCGTCCTTTAGATGAGATGTTAAAGCAAGTTCCCTGTCTGTGGCTGTTCAGGTGGACGTTAAAAGACTCTGCGGCACTACTCGATACAGAGAAGGGTGTACTGGCCAACAATCTCCCAAACAAAATAGGTTCATTCCCTCACAGGCTGTTTGTGAGACATCGCCGTGCGCGAATTGGCGGCTTACAAATGCAGTCACGACACTTCACTGTAAAATCCCGTGAAGCTCTTGAAACGCGTTGTCAAAGCGTAACAGCAAAGCGTCATATTAAATTTCTTTTGGAATTTCCAGAAGCTGCAATGAACGACATAGTCATAATCCTCGCATTTCGATACAGCGCCTTATCACGTCTTCGAGACGTCTCATAGCTCTTCACAGAATATACTGTGAAGCGAATGCACTGCGAAAGGCGACAACTTGCAATTATATAGTGTCGTTCACCCCGAAGGGACTGAGGCTGCTTTGTGTAGCACTTGGTTTGTTGGACGGCACAGACATTTTACCTGGTGCGTTGGCCACATCTAGTGACGGAAATTGCACACTGCACTGGAAAAAACATTCTATCAGCTCACTGGCACTGAGATGTTTCTCTTCACAGAGAGAAATTACAGGTTCGATTTTCCTGCTTCTTTTTTTTTCAGTCGGGGAATTTCATCCACAAAATAAACAGTCAATTACACTTTAAGGTTTATCCTTCGAGGTGCTTTGAGACGTCTCGGAGACGTGATAAGGCGCTATATCAAATGCCACGATATTATCACATTATTTATTTTAAATTGCCTTCAGCCTTTCTGCTCCCACTCTCTGGAACTCCATCCCGGAGCCCCTCTGCCTCTCCCCCTCATCTTCCCACCCCAGCCCCCTTACCCTCCATCTCTCTTGGTTCCATCCCCCAGTGCAAACCCTTCACTGTCCAGCGCCTTGGGTCGTCCTCCCGATTCGAAATGCCATATAAATCCAAATTGTTGTTGTCCCTACACTTGGCGTAAAGATAAGTTTAATTTGTATCGGAGTGCGGGAGGGTGGAGATTGAGGTTGGGGTTGGGAGTGGGGGAGCCTGGGATTGATACCCTTCCTCCAAATTGGAACTGATTTGAGTAACAGGAACCAAGAGCACGAAATCCATTTAAGTCAACGGACACCGCAGAATGATGAAGCATGTTCCATGTTATATTATTAAACGCTTTGCTGCTCCGGTTCATTACAGACCCAGTATAAATCCACACAAGGTTCACAGACCACCTCCCATCTCTCTCACTCCGTTTCCTTCAAGTGGGGGGAGGAGCCGTGGAGGGTTGGGGAAGAGACGGGAGGGAGGGTGGGCGGGGGGGTGAAGGGTTCCAGGCTCAGCTCCAAGACTAAGCTATCCTTGACGAGAATAATTGGCTTGCAAGCACAGTGCACACGTCAGGCGGAGTTATGAAATTAGACACAGTCAGTAGGGAACCACCAGAAGAAATGAGAGAACATCGCCTGTTAAAGCACTCAAGTTATCTGACGCAGCCTCTGAAATAATACAAAGCGATTTTCTCCCCCTATGTTGCTGCATTAAGCCGTGTGATTTTCAGGAAGTTTTGGCTTGCGAGCCGGAAATTCCCGCTGATAACAAATAAATAATCATACCCAGGGGAAACTTAATCGAGGACTTTAAAATGACGAGGAGTTTTTGATGGACTCAATGGGGATGGGGGGGTGGGGGTGGTGAAATCATTTCCAATGGACAGTTGACAAGAAAGCACCAATTTAAGATAGTTATCCAATGAATCAGAGGAGAAATTTAGAGGTAATTTTTTACGCAGAGTTGCTAAGATGTGGAATGTCCTGTCGGGAGGGATGGGCAAAGCAGGATTCATATTAGCTTTCAAGATGAAATAAGATTTTTATTTGCCCAGCCGAGTGTCTGACACATGCGGAAGCCCATCACCGTTGCTTAAGAGTCTCCAAACCAGACTGAGATTTCCACGCAACCCACCTACACACATGGAAATCCCGGAGATAGGTTGTTGGAACGGAATGTGCACTCTCTCCCTGCCAGGACTCCTCCTACTCACCTAATTCCACAACGTATTAGGCGTAGGTTGGCAAGAACCATGGCTTGGGGACCCCAGAGTGTGCGTTGGAGTAACTGCTGGAGTCCGACCAGCTGAAGCCGCGCAGCTTTCCATCGATAGCGCTGTCTGTCGAAAAGATATCTAAAATGGAGTCATTTGCATGGGGCGGGCGGGGGGGGGATGTAGGTACATGGCACAGAATTGATCGCTCTTTCAAAGAGATTGGTATCTATCATGGATACAATGGGCTGAATGGTCTTCTGTGTTGTAAACTTCCGTGGTTTTGACATTATAGGCACTGCACACAACGCACTCAGGCACAAGATACACTTTACCGGGCACTTTGTTGGACAATAAAGATCCCCTGTGAGTAGATTAACTGCCACATTCACCTACAGACTAGTCGCTAAAGTCATCTCCATTTCACAGTATATCCTGTGAAGTGCATTGAACCACCTCGAAGACCACGACAACAATAACTAGCGCTTATAATATTAATCCTTGCATTTATCACGTCTGCGAGAGGTCTCAAAGCGCTTCGCGGAATAAGCCGTAAAGTTAATTAACTGTAAATATTGTGGGCCAAACACTCAGCAGCCTTCACGCGAGGCAGGGTCTCGACGACGCTACAAGGCGCGCGATATCAATCGCAAGGATTATCACCCGCTAACTTCCTACCCTGAATTATTCTTTAAACTCAAGCGGTGATGGTTTGGGAGGTGGGGGGGGGGGGGGTGGTATTATTATTATTATTAGTGAATAAAGGAAGTGGATCAATGGATTAATCTCTCCACTAGAGGTCTGTATCTCGTTGGTTTCTTCCCAGATTTTAAGGCAAAGAGGCAAACACTTGTCTTGAAAAATTCCAATGCCTTCAAATCACTCACTCCATTTTCCGAGCACCGCATCTGAACAATGCAGCCCTTGATTTTGTTATTTTGTGCAATGAACTGGGCATTTTCCACCCAGGGTTCACAAGCAAGAGGATGAAACAGCTTTGAAGGGCATGCATTGGCTTGGCAGAAAGGCACCATAAGCTGGTTGAGACGATTTAAGATCTCAAGTGCTTTCAGATGCAACCCCCCCCCCACCCCCCATCACCCCCCAAAAAAATGCCCTTTTGTCTGAATGCATTAACTAATGCACATTATCCATAATATCGATCGGTTTGGTTAATGAATGTGCTGAGGAGGGGACAGCAAATAGAATTGGAACAAATTTACAATACAGAGAGAGAGATAGTGTGTATGCATGTATGTATATGTATGTATGTATGTATGTGTGTGTGTGTGTGTGTGTGTGTGTATAAAGCAGAGGGAGCTGTGGATGCACAGTGATGCATTTTCTTTTGAATATCAATGTATTTTCTGCTTGGGATGGTTCTATATTCCCTGTGGAACATTAACAGGGAAGATGCCCAGGCAGATTGCAAACTGCATTCTCCAGTCTAAAAGCTTTTGTGTGTGTGTGTGTGTGTGGTGTGTGGTGTGATGTGTGGTTGGGAGATAGGGGGTGGAAGGAAAATATCATTCAGATCACAAGCAGAGAAATAAGCTATAGTGTTGTAGGCTTTTAAAAAGGCTTTGTTCTCTGACATTAACCTCCTCTCCCTCTCTATCTGTCTTTCTCTCTGTTTGTCTGTCTGTCTCTCTCTGTTTGTCTGTCTGTCTGTCTGTCTATCTCTCTCTCTCTGTCTGTCTGTCTGTCTGTCTCTTTCTCTCCCAGCATTGCATCTGGACAGGACTGCTCCTGCTGCTGGTGCTGTGGGAGGAGAGAGGGAGGAGAGGAGGAGGAGAAGAGAAGAGAAGAAAAGGAAAGGAGAAGGAGGGGTGGTGGATGGAGGTTGGAGATTTTTAAGGTTCATTTTGCAATGATGTCATGCTGTTTTTTTTACAGTGCTGGGAATCGAGAATAGACTGCTCCACACATACACACACACACACACACATTCACACAGCATCCCTTCCTCGCCTGAACTCTGGAAGCAACAGTCAGTGGGGTTTAAGCTGAAGGTTGTGGTTGGAGACAAGTGGATGCATTCATTCACACACCCACTCACATACTTAGGGATTTTAGGAATTTTTATTTGACCATCTCATCTGTAAGACAAAAGGAGGCAATCATTCCACTCCTGATCAGCTTTACCATTTTCAGGCAAGTCGTTATTTTTTTTTGATAGAATTTGGTTTGGGTTCCTTGAGAAAAGAATTTCCATTTTCACCCATTCCACCCTTCTAATATCCAGTGTTTTGTTCCCTTAAATTGTCTCCCTTTCCCCACTCTCACTCTCTCTCTCTCTCTCTCTCTCTCCATCCCTCTCTCCTCCTCTCAACATCCAGCATCTCCACAGGATGAAACTGTAAGACCACTTCCCAAGGCTGGTACTTTAGAGAGAGATTTTTTTTTAAAAAAAAGGAAAAAAGAACAAATATATATATATATATATATATAGGAAAATAACATAAAATGGCAATAAATACGGACGCCGAGTTTGAGAAGACCTTAAATGGATCTGGAGGCACAGCTTTGCCTAAGGACCACCAAGAAACAGAGCAGCTCCTCACAGCTGCTGAGAACAAGCTGGAGAATGGGATACCCAGCTCCAAGTCGTTCACTGTCAACATGTCCAGCTCCAAAGAGGTTGAGATGGAGCATAAGGACCAAGTCAAGAAGTACAGATCCTCGGAATCAGTGGCCAAGCTGTCTGCCCCTCCTGGCTCTCCTTCCAGGGTCAGTCTGGGTAGAGTGTCCACCACCACCAACAGTGCCCAGGATCAGTCTCGACCCAGGGACTACCTGATCCTGGCTATCTTCTCCTGTTTCTGCCCCATGTGGCCCATCAACATCGTGGCTCTGGTCTACTCCATCATGGTAAGTGATCTTGGAAAACGTGTTGTGTGTTAAAAAAAAACACACATTGGTATGGATGTAGATTGTTTAAAAAAAAATTTAGTTATAGATTTGAAATGTATTGTAAAATGTTACATGTAACATTTGTTGTAAAAGTTAGATGTGTGTACACACATATATATATATATATTCCCCTATACATTTTTTGGGTGGGGAGCAGTTTTTTTAAAGTATATGTTATCACTACATACATACGCTGTATACACAGTATATTATATATATATATGTCTTAAAAAATTGCTCCTCACCCCCCAAAAAGTTGCATCTTTTAGATTTGGGATGTGAAAACCACTTAAACAAATATATATATATATATATTATTTCTGGTAGAAATATCTAAGGTGAAGACCTATGTTTTTCTATGAATTCTATCCCAGTTTAGATCTATCTCTCTCTCTTTTTCTCTCTCATTCCTCTCCTCTCCTCCCCCACCCCAATCCAGTTTGCGTTTATTTGTGGTGAAACAGAGTGTTAGATGGCTTCTTGACATGATGAATGGTCATTAGACATTCATTTGATTCCATCCTTACTAACATCAACTCCCAGAGAGAAAGAGACACTTGATCACAAAAGAGAGCGAGAGAGAGAGAGTCTATTTATCTATGCTGTGTGATTGATGGTGTTGGAGGAGGTGGGAGCTTTAAATATATCTTGTAAAATTGGGAGGGATTGTTTTATTTGATTCAATTTTATTCTGCAACGCCTGATGATGGAGGCGGCTTTGCCCTAGCTTTAAGAAGCTTCTCTGGTGCCAGTGAGATTTGGTGCAAAAAAAAGGCGAGTCCTTTAGCGTTGAGGCAAATAGACACTGGCTGATGGATAGCAAGCTAACACTCAGCAGTGCAGTCACTGAGGAACACAACACACCATACAGCAGAGAGAGAGAGAGAGCATCTGCCTCCAATAAAACAGTTGGGACTTAATGACCGCATTAAGGGTTAAATAATAATTTAATAAGAATTGATAATACTGATGATCAATAATAATTCACGCCTGTTTGTGGGGACGCTGCTGTGCGGAATTGGCTGCCGTGTTTCACCCACAAAATACACAGTCGATTCACCTTACAATATATCCTGTGAAGCGCTCTGAGACGTGATAAGGCACTATATCAAATGCAAGGATTATTATCATTATTAAAGCACACACACACACACAAACATACACACCACCGGCGCGCACAAGCTGAGCGCAGTCAAGCCTCTCGATTTTTTTTTGGCGTAAACTTTCTCACAAAGGAAAGGAAGGGAAATGGTTAAGGGAGGGGACATGGCTGTGAGCAGTGGCATTGTGGCACTGTGTTAAACAAAAAAATCGACACACACACACACACACACACAGAGGGAGGTGGGTGAGTTCCCAGTTTGGTCCAGTAAATAAATACGAGAGTGAAGGTATTTGGAGCTACAGCACAAGCCCTGGTGATCAAATGTGCTGCTACAAAAGCTTAACCTGCTCCCTTGGTGGACCTGATGTGCCCTCGTTATTGGCAAGAGTCAGTGCAGAGGGTCTGTTAGATCTTCAGCCAACATTGTGTGCAATGTGTGTGTGTGTGTGCGTGCGTTACTGCGTTGGTGCATTTCAGTAAAACTGCGTAAAGATATGGGCAGAGGTGTGTGTGTGGGGAGGGGTATGGGGGGCGGGGGGTTGGTCTCTATGAGATTCAGCTTCTAAAGAGGTTGCTTTGCCTTGTGTGTGCGTGTGTGTGCGCGTGTGTGTGTGTGTGACAGCAACAACAACAACAAATTGCATTAATACAGTACAGCGCCTTTCTTCTCAATGCTCCGTTTCACAGAGCCTGGAGCAGAGAGAGAGAGAGTGGGGTGTGGCACGCACAATAATCCTATCACCCATCTTTGCAGTGAAGTCCCATCCACAAGAACACACACACATACACACAACAACCGCATGCTTCTCAGGTTTTCTTTCGACTGCTGGCTTCGCACGCTCCCCCTTCCGCACGCCCACCCCGCTCTCCTGCCACACACGCAACAACAACAACAAGATTCCATTTATTGAGCGCCTTTCACGTCGGGAGGACGTCCCAAGGCGCTGTACAGTTGGGTCAGGACCCGAGCATTGGGGGAAATGGTCAGGGTGAGGGGAGGGAAGGGAGGGAGGGAGCGAGGAGGGGGTAGAGAGTCGAGAGGGGAGCTGAAGGCACGGTCAAAGAGCACACACACCACCCCCAATATATTTCCTGCGCAGTCTAATTTAAATCTAGAAAGCCTGGCACGACAACTTCTCCGAGCCCAGGTGAGAGGAATGAGATAAATGAAGTTACAGTCAGGCTTACAGTTTACACAGCGCATTTCAACTGTAATGGAGGGGGTGGGGGGGGCCGGTGGGCTGGGGGAAAGGGTCTCAAATTGCATCACGGGAAGTGTAGTGACTGTGTACGTTGCGCGGCTGCCGACTTGCACACAAGTGGGCGTGAGGCCAGCCGTAAACCAGACGTCGTTGGAGGAAGTGGGTGACTGCGGCAGGGGGCTTGGTCCTCAGTGAGAAGGCGCGTTGGGCGCTCCCACCTGCCAACCACACCGCCAGCGCTCTCTCTCTCTCTCTCGCGTGCCAGGGAAATCGTCTGGTCGGAGGTTTGTGGTTGATTGTCAGGAGGGATTGTCCCAGCCCCATCGTCACCTCCACCACCTCTCTACCTCCTCCTCCTCCTCCTCTGCTCGGCACCTCTGATATCTCAACAGGTCTGAGCCAACAACAACAACTTGCATTTATGCAGCGTCCTCCACCCAGGGCAGCGTCTCAAGAGCGCTTAACAGTGGCGCAGCCTGACTCCGAGCCGGCGGGGGGAGTGGTGGGAGGTGGCCGTAAGCACACGGTCGAACAGGAAAGTTTTCCGGTGGGACTTGAAAGCGGGGAGAGAGGGGGCGCACAAGGCGGAGGGATTGAGGGAGAGTGTTCCAGAGTTTCGGGGCGTAGTGGCTGAAAGCGCGACCTCCGATGGCGGGGCGGAGGGCGCGAGGGACGAGCAGGATTGCAAATTGCTTCGATGTCTCACCACGTGGTAGGTAAGGCACTATATCAAATGCAAGGATTATTATTATTATAGAGATACAATCAGCTGTGTAAAGAGCAAAACATCACAGTGGTCTTAAAAGTTATTGACAGGAGTAGTGACTGTTTTCGAGGGCCAAGACGGCAACTCCCTCAAGCAATGGTGTGAGGTGAAGGACCAATTAATGTATTGTTCAGGAGAATGGGAGAAACTCTCTTCTCGAGTAGCGCCACCGGGATTTCTGGTGACCTCGCGCCAAAATCAAGCAATACAGGACCTTGGAGTAGCGTCTCATCTGACAGGTACTGCAATAGTCATAGTCTCACACGGTGTACAAACCCACCAACCTTCTGATGTTAAGCATTTTGTAAGCTGCAACAACAAATAACAACTTGCATTTAGAGAGCGCCCCCACACGCAGGGTAGCGTCCCGAGCGCAAAAGCAGAAAGGGCAATTGTGGAGTCCTGTAGCTCAGTGGTTAGAGCACTCGCTTTGCAAGCGAGACACCTGGGTTCAATTTCAGGCAGAGGGCGAAACCTTGGGCAAGTTTCCTTCCTCCACACAGAGCCTAATAATAATCCCTCCAAAACAAAACAGTGATGGATTGGTCATTTTCAATCTGTGACTGTTTGTGGGGACGCACAATTGGCTGCCGCGTTTCGCCCACAAATATACAGACAATTCACTTTACAGTCTATTCTGTGAAGCGCTTTGAGACGTCGAGAAGACGTGAGAAAGCGCTACATCAAATGCAAGGATTATTATTATTATTATGAGTAAAACCGCCTCAAATTCTTTGAAATATTGGTCCGATTCACTCTTTAAAGCTGTCACGAATTCTGCTTGCGTCTACGGCCACGTCTCGCTGATGCTCCCAGCCAGTTGTGTAAAAGGCTTCAAGACGCCCTCCTCCACGTGAAAGGTGCTATTTAAATAATACATTTTACTTGTTACATTTAGCGTTGTTGTATCATCAGCAGTCACTGTTGTATCAACGACCGCTTTTGGCAAAGCAATCAGCCTCATTCCCAACAGCCGTCTGTCCAAAAAGCCTTCCAAACCTCTCCCTTTGTTTGCAAACAGTCGTTCTGCTCACCTGAAAGTCTTGCGCATCGAGCTTTTCTGCCGTGTTTGTGAGGTGAGACCACTGGGTACCAGATGACATAATCAGACCTGGTTTCCCACTTAATTGGAAACACAACAAATTAAGTGAGTCCCGGGTGACTATTTGCATTCTGCAATAAACACTGCAAGCTCTGTATTTAAAAATGTAACGTAAGGCAACATCTTGGAGACAACTAGGGACCTGCACACTGGAATAAAAGCATTTCTTTAATGATCGTCCTGAACAAATCGAACACTCTTTTTTAAACTTGCGTTTTAAAAACGTTCTTTGGTTTTATTGCTCTTTTTTTTAAGGAAAAAAACGAGAAAATCGACTGGGTTTTCTGGCCAAATCTCATTGTTGAAGCTGTTTTAATTACCGGTGAAATTATAATTCTACAGTTGTTTGTTTCCTTTGGGATTTCAGAATTAGCTTTCAACAAACCTTTTTTTGTTCTGACACAGGCAGAATAACCCATCACCGTGATTAAGATTATCCAAACCAGACTGAGCATTCCAATTATTTATGCCACTTAGTCATGGAAATTTCAGGGAAATAGTCCGGGAAATTTCCCTGTGTTTGGAATGGAATGCGCACTCTTTCCCCGGAGGGACACATCCTGCTTACGTATTTCCAGAGAGTATTAGGCGCAGGTTGGCAAGAGCCAAGGCTTGGGGACCCTGGACTATGGGTTGCTGAGTTTAACCACCGAACTTACCGTCGACATCTCTGCCGTTGAAATCTTTCTGCTGCTTGTCCAGCTAAGACATGCTACCCATTACAGCTTGTGGGGTTAACAGAACAAGCACATTAGGGATCGTGTAAAGCCTCATAGAGGGAAAGGGATGCTTTTAGCAACATAGGAAAACAGAAACAGGTGGATGCCATTCAGCCCTGTTCTACCCATTTATTAGATCTTGTCAGATCTTTAATTCCCATCGCACAGCCCTTTCACCATATTTAATACCTACCTGTATGCCACTATCCAAGTACAGAACCTAGATATGTCTTCTCCCATAAAATGTATATTTCTCAATGAGCTGGTTGTCTGTTTCAGGCCAGGTTTATAAATTTGTGGTAATTTTATTCTCAGATTGATTTTGAAAGGTAAATCACCGTCACCGCGATTGATACAATTAAATCTCAATGGCTTTCGCTGGGGGATAATAGTGATTCGGTTAAAACTCTTAACATAAAAATGGCATGCACCACGCAATTTAGCACCCTCTCATCTTTTTTTTTCCTTGACATAGAACTCCATATATTTGTGTAGCTTTCCACCTTCTTGTTTTCAGCCACATTATGTTTTACTCGGCTTTGCCCGGTGTCCTCCCAACGTGAAAGGCGTCAGAATTGTACTTCGTTTAATTTTCCATTTTACTCTCGGAATCAGAGTAAACAATTAATCAGATGCTATCCCCTATCGGTTCAACATTAACTTTGGCTTCTTCTCTTTTTGACTCTTGACCTTGAGCACCAAATCTCTTCCTGCTTTTGAGGCATTTCTATCAAATGAATGGAGCTGAAATGCAGATCTGTAGCTCTTGTCCAGCTGATCTCCACCAGCGCTATTCAAAAAGCCAACAACAACAACAAAATTACATGTGTAAAGTGCCTTTCATGTCGGGAGGACGTCCCAAGGCGCTGGACAGAGTTTTGGACCCAAGCTTGGGGTCGGGATTGGGGAGTGGGTAGGGCAAGGGGGAGAGAAGCAGGGAGATCGAAAGCGCGGTCGAAGAGGAGGGTCTTGAGGTGGGTCTTGAAAGAGGCAAGGGAGGGGGCGAGGCGGAGGGACTGCGGGATGGAGTTCCAGGGGGTGGGGGCAGAGTGGCAGAAGGCCCGCCTGCCAATAGTGGGAGTTTCCCCAGATAAATTTTGTCATTTTGCATTACTGCTGTCTGTGTGGACATTGCTGTGCACAAAATACAGTCATCGCACTTTACGGTAAAAGTCCTGTGAAGAGCTTTGAGATGTTTCTCTCACTGAATGATAAAGCGCTGTGTCAAATGCCAGGATTATTATTGATACTTGGCGGCGGGTGGGGGTGGGGGGTGGAATGGGTGTCTAACAAGCGGTGATTTCTAACAGGAAACCCCAGTGGGGAAGCCTTCTGGTAACTGGAACTGGGTCATGCATTCACACTGACTCGTGGAAATTCGGTTCTGAGCATAGATTATATCAGAGAGGACATCCATCGGAATCGACCATGTATTGGAAGTGCAGGAATAGTGTGGGAGGTTTAACTGTATATTGGCTATGCTGGTTAGTTGTTTTTGATATGAAACAAATGGAGGCTTATGACAGCACAGGAGTCAAAAGGATTTCAGCCTAGAGAGTGAGAATGAAATTCTCCCCCTTCTCATCCCCCAATACCCCCCCCCCCACCCCCCAACACACACACACACACTTTTTGGCCCCAAACGTCAAATGGAACCACGTCAAGTCCAGCATGAGTTACACATAGGAGAAAGCTTCCACTGCTCTCCTCCATGCAGACACCCTAATCCCAACTTAGGGGGTTAACCTCAACTCCACAACAGTCACATTTGCCATCACCCACACTGATGATCCTTGTGACCTCTCCGAGTTAAATGGATAACATTAGACTCCACATTTGTGCTGTCGATTGACTCACTCACTCATGAATTTACGTAGCAACGGTTAAAGCCTGATGGAGGGACTCTTCGTGCCCGGCTCCCCTGTCTTGCCCATTTCTCCGAATCCTTCAGGCTTGCACGGTTCTCTTCATCCTCACCTTGGACACCTGGTTTTCCTGGAAATCTTACAAACCCGTCAAGATTCTGGCCGCAACAATCACACCGGAAATTCCAGTTGGCAAACGTGATAACTGAGCCACTCAGTCCTTTTCCAGGGCAAGACTCTACAGGAAACAGAAGGCCACATAGTACACAGTCACAAACAACACTTTATGTAAATCTTATGAAGCGCTTTGAGACGTCTCAACAACGTGACACAATAACAAACAACAGATTACATTCGGATAGCGTCGGGAAGACGTCCGAAAGCGCTTGTCCCAAAATACGGCGGAGCTGTGTCAAATGCAAGGATTATTGTTATTGTTACAATCTTGGATTGGGTTTTTCATTGGAAAAACGTTTCGTTTGTGAATGTTTGGGACTAAAACGAGCATTTCGAAATCGTGACCAGCCTTGTGCGCGAGGCTGTCACTATCCGAGTGAGGCCGCGCTGTGAGAGAGACTGGGGGCGGCGAGGCAGAAGAACTCAGTGCTGCCTCCCTCGATCTCTGCTGTTTAACCTGCTGCCTGTAAGCATTGGCACATTTCCAGAGAGGAGACTAATCAGATCAAGATTGACTTCCATTCATATAGCTGGATTGTCTTTAAGGAAAGGCCACATGCTGAGGATCTAACCTATAGCCCTCCCAACTTAACGAATCTCAACTGGGTCAGAGTTTACCCCAGTGCTCTTTGCAGCATGAAAAGGTCAGATTAGTTTTTTTTCTCCAAAAAAAAGCATTCGGTTATTTTCCAAATACAATACAAAATAGGAATAAAATACTCCGGACGGTCTGGAGAGAGGGAGAGACTCAACACTCAGATTACAGTTCAGTACAGTCAGCATTCTGACAGCCTCAACGAACAATATAAAACCCATGTTAAAAGAGTCTTATCTCTATTTCAAAACCAGATATGAATGATACATACATAACTACTTGACTAAGAAAGAAAAGTGTCCAGGGATTGAAGCAGGCTGCAAGTCAAAATTGGACCACGCCGCACAAGAGTCAGTATTTCGTGATAATAATATTTTTTTAATTTGATACAGCGCCCTTCCATGTCGTCCCAAAGCACTTCACCGGATTTACTGTAGAGTGTAGTGTCTGTGTGTTTTGATTGGGACGTAACCTTCTTCCGATGCCATCCGGTTGAAGGTTGGAACTCCTCAAAGTGGAAGAGCAAATGGGATTTTTTGGAATGATCCAAGCCTGATCTGCGGGCTCTTCTCTCCAGGAGGGAAAAGGTATGGTCAGAGGCCAATGTGGGCAGCGAGCCGAGCAGTGGGAATCCAGCAAACCCAGCTCGGCTCGGACACATTGTTCTGCCTCAATGCTTCGGTCTCCGAGATGCAGGAACCACCCAGACAGTGACTGCTCAGTTCACAAGCCCTCCCTCCTTTTCCTCCCTCCCTCGTTCCCTCCCTCTCTGCCTCCCTCCCTCCCAATCCCTCCATCCCACGCACCCCCCCTCCACAATTACCGCTCAGAACTGTCATTTTAAAATATTTACTTTCGCCAGAAACAAAAATAAACACAAGACTCTGATTATGGTGAACTATTTACATAGCATTTAATGGAATCCTTCTCCAACTCGGTTCAATGGCTATTTCTGATTCTCATGTTAAATTCAAAATAAACCAGCTGTCCCAATAAAAATTGCTGCAGATTGATTCGATAGATTGATGCCAAAAATAATAGCGACTCAAAATTGACCACAGTAAGTGATTATCGAATGCGTTTCTAAATAAAACGAGGCCAAAATGAACAGATAACTGTGATGGAGAAAATTGCAGCTTCGAACGTAGAACCGAAACTGACAACATCCCAAAGAGATGATTGATTATATAGAGAAATTCATGTCCATTATTGTGAGTGTTGCCTCTCTCTCTCTCTCTCTCTCTGCTACAGATACTATAATTGGATGTTAAAGAACAAGTCACATTAACAAACACTGTTCGAAAAGAGAAGGGAGTTTCTGTCTCTCCCGGTGTCCCGGCTAACAATCACCATTTTATATGGGTCGTTCAAAAAAATACACTCGGTACAATTCACAGTAAAAAAAATCTTTTAAAGCCCGTTGAGATGTTTCGATGGACATGCTAAGGCACTATATCAAATCCAAGCATAATTCCTCTCATTATTTACGTACTTTAAAATCGGTGCCTAAAATTCTTAGTGCTTTAACGTTGAGATGTACACTTCAAAATCAGATCTAAGTGGATTTGTTTTGTTTCGTCACCAACAGTCCAGAAACAGTCTACAGCAGGGTGACACGGACGGAGCCAGAAGACTGGGACGCCTGGCTAGGCTGTTGAGTATTGTGGCCATAATCCTTGGAGCGCTCATCATTATCATCTACTGTGTGCTCAACTTTGCAGGTAAGAGACTTTGGCAGCTTTGACCCACTGTTGCAATCTGTACAACGACCCACTAACGTACTTAATCGGGGGCTGGTTGATCGACCCAACCAGTTTCCAGCTCTTACGATGCTCTCCCCAGCTCTATTAACCACAAAATTCAACTAATCCAGAATTCTGGCTCCCCGTATACTCACCCGCTCTAAACTCCGTGCCCCCCACCCCATCCCCACCCCCCACCATCACTCCAGTCCTCGCCAGGCTCCACTGACTCCCTATCACAGAACGGATTGACTTCAGGATCCTCCCACTGGTCTACAAATCCCTTCACGCCCCGACACCTCCGACTTGCTTACTCCCCAATCGGCCACCCGCCAGCCTCCGCCCAGTTGGCTCCGGCCTCTTTCTTGTCCCTCGTCCCCTCCGCTCCACCAATGCCGCCTGTGGTTTCAGCCACTCTGCCCCTAAATTCTCTCCCTCAACCCCTGCACCTTACCCCTCCCTTCCCCCTTTTCAGATCACATGCTCATAAGAAGGAAAACCTTCCTTAGCTCTTGTTACTTTAGTCCGCTCAGCGAGTTAAGTACAAACAATGCTAAATACAGACTTTACTAACGGATATTTGATACAGTATTAACAAATTTTTGTCCATATAACGGCATATTGTCCAAACAACCATGTGCTGTTGATTTAACCGCAATCATTATTCACCACTTGAAATCATTTTATGTAGCAACAGTGGAAAGCAATTAGAGCTGAGAGACCAGTCACAGACATCTCCTATCATTTCTTTTAGAGCTTTGGTTGCTCTTACCAATCTCCTTCACCCTATAAAATTTGCAAACCTATATAATGCCACACTTTAATTCTCAATCTAACTAGTGAAAAATTCTTAAATCATCCATTCCAAATCAAATCGGTCACTCACCTCATGGCTGTTTGCAGGTCGTTGCTGAGTGTAAATTGGGTGCTGCATTTGGTCACAAAACGCACACTTTACACTTTACAATATATTCCATGAAGTTATTTGAGACATCTCAACGACGTGATAAGGCGCGATATCAAGTGCAATGATTATTATATTATATCCTGTGAAGCACTTTGGAATGTCCTCCCGATCTGAATGGTGCTGTGCCAAATGTGAGGATTATTTATTGCTATTCAGGTACATTTGATTACTGGATAACTTACCGGTTTCTCCTTTGATTTTTCAGTTGCCAAGTAGAAGATGTGCCACACAAGAGGATTTTGATCGGTTCCTTGAGGGGACTTGACTGGATGAGATCTAAGTGTTGCATTTCTCTTTAATGGAAAACAAATAATCCACTTTTACCAACTCCGGAAGAACATGGATGAACTTCACCGAGAGCTAATTCTTAGCCATTCCAACCCAGCTCAATGTGCACCGTTTTCCAGCTCGCTCATTGAGCGGAAACAAACATTTAACTTTCAGTTCAACCTTCCCCAACCCCTTTGAAGTCAATATTGCTATGGAATCCAAAGCTACTCAAGCCAAGTCTAATCAGAGACCTGAAAACCTGAAGGGGACTGTCCTGCACAATGGGTTGTTTGGTTGATTGGAATGGCAAAGTGCATGCGCCTGGAAGCAAAGATACTTCATAAAAGTCTTAAAAGTAAAAAAAAATATGATTACGAACCTTTACCCCCCACCCCCCCACACCGCCCCTGTATATCGCACAAGGACTATGATGAGTGTTTGGCTTCCGCATTTTTTTTTAAGTTGTTTTTCTTTTGTAAAACAGGGGGGGGGAAAAAAGGACAAAAAAAAAACCACATCTTTTCAAAGAAAAAATAGAATCCCACACAGTGTTGTCGAACGAGCTAAAAACCTGCCAAAAAAAAAAAATGACAAAAGTACAAGATGAAACGGAGATGCGAGACTGGGAGATGGAGGGATCGGAAGTGGGAACATGGAACACATTTTGCGTCCTCGTGGCTGCTGAGTTGATTTTCGGTAACGGGAAGGATTTTTTTGTATTTTTTGATGAAAAAAAAATGACCACTTGCATGCAGAAAACACAAGCGTCACGGCTGATGAATTCAACGGTTGAGGCACCTACCGGTTCATATCTATGTAGATGCAATGCAGTTCAATGCTTGCAGTATACTTGTTTTGTGGGTGTACTCGCCGAATGATGATTAGTGCTGTCCAATTGCTTTGAATATGCTTTTAGTTTAATAACTTTTAATCTCCACCGCCCACCGCATCCCCCCCCCCCACCCCACCCGCCCACCACCACCTTTTCTTAAAAGAATGGTTTGCATTTGCGACTGTTTATATAAACGTGCCGTTTCTGGCATGGAGCAGGTTTGTTTGGTAACTTGATGGTGGATGGGGCTGGGGGAGCTAATCTGAAAATCATTTGTCGTGAGAGACTAATTTATTAACTGTTTACCATTTTACAAGAAAGGCTGTAATAAGTTTTGCGTGAGAGTCTTTCCTGTATTTTTACTTATATGCCGTATGAGATAATGATAATAATCCTTACAAACAGCAACGACAACTTGCACTTATATAGCGCCCCGTCACGCAGGGTAACTTCCCAGAGCGCTGACGTTTGGGATAGCGCCTTTCACCTCGGGAGGACGTCCCAAGATAGAGAATTCCTTTAAAACGTCTCATTAAATATTAATTTTAGTTTAACAAATTCATGCTCATTAAACAGAACTCGCAGAGAAATGGGCAAGGTTATGTATTCCGTTACTTACTTAGTAAAATTACTGTTTGACTTCATTCCAGCAAAATATCCCTTATCACCCCCATAAAAATGTCTGGGAGTCCTTTTCTGTGCAATGATTTTTTAAAAAAATTCTCTCTTTTTCTCGGAGACTGAATAATGCTGACAGTTAAGGTGTGGTTTGCCCGTTATTTAGCATTCATAGACTGCACTGTGCACATCTGTATCTATTGCAAACCCATCCAGTGTCGTGCTGGCAGTAGCCTTTTTTTGGGGGGCGATTTAGGAAAGAAAAAGCACACACGCCAGAGAATTAACTTGAAACGAAAGAGCATTGAATCTTTACATCTGCGGCTCAGCAATAATTGCTGCTGCAGCTAGCTTCCAGTATCAACTCTGCATCGTTTCAAATAATCCTAACTCGTCCAGAACCCATCACCGCACACCAGAGATGAGCAGAGGGATTGTGTGGGTGGTTGAAATGTGTACTTGACTCCAGGGAGATCGCAAAAGTAACACCCTTACGCCCTGTAATTGCACCCGCTCCCATACCCCTTCATTCTCCAACACATACTCAGCGAGATGAAGAGAATTCTAAACCCAGTTAAAAAGGAAATCTGAAATTGCATTCAGACCCTGAAGAAGCTGCGCTGAATATACCCGTCACCGGTTTCATGGACTGGCTGTAACAAGGCAATTGTAGTGCAGTCCTGAAGCAGAGTTGCAAAGGTCATTAAAGGCAGGTGTGTGCTCTGCTCGTCGAAGGTTTGACTCACTCGTCTTCGTTTTTAGGATGAGGCATCAATGTACGAGACAGAAAGAGAGAGAGAAAAAATAACAGACAGTTTAAAAGCAACAAACTCTCTGCTTTTCTGTTGTTAGCTGCTCCCTGGGTTTGCACATCTTTTTCATTTGTTTTTTTGCAGTGAAATCTTATCAATATTTTAACGTGGAGCTTAAGTGGCCGCTTATTGTGAGTCGAACTCTATCCTCATCGGCATCTTCTGTCTCAATTGCCTGTTTATCCCAGCCATTATTTTTGCCATTACCGGGGATCCATTAACATTCGCTTTTTCTTCAGCGGAAGATCCTGATAAGAAATATTCTTTTGGAATAACAATGACCTCTTCCCCTGGGTCCACTGCATTCGCATTAAGTTTGCATACAGTAAGTATTGCAGGCAGCATTGGTCATCCATAAAACATCACTTGTGAAATGTTATTTCCTGACAAATCTTCAGATCACACCCGAAGACCTTCCTCTTCGACCGTGACCCACAATCGCCTCCCCTTTCTCCCTGATTCCACCAGTGTTAAGCGCTCTGAGACGCTATCCTGCGCAATGGGCGCTATATAAATGCAAGTTGTTTTGTTGTTGTTGACATTTTGTGTTTTGTATTTTGAAAAGTCCAAATGCCAGAAGAGCGAATGGACTCATTGAACGTGTTAATAAGTCGCACTTTTGCATCAATCTGAACCGCATACGTATGTGGGGGGGGGGAAGTCTACGGGAGTGGGGGTGGGGGGGGGAGAAAAATAGGCTCATACAAAGCAGCTGTGACATGCTGACTCTCGGGAGGGTTTCTCTGTCCCCGCTAGAAACATCTACCAGTCTCCTCGCCGCCTGAGCCGGATAATGTAAAGTAAACGAATGCCACAATAGAATTGCTTCCTAATCATTTGCAAGCGCCGTTTGAAATCTTCCGATTCTGTTTTGCAGAGCTTAATAAATCCACCACCAATGTCCTTCTTGCCGTTCTGACAGATAAATTCTGGCATGTGAGAATATCAATAATCCAACAGCGGTAATGGGCTCAAGTATTTTTGTAGGCTGAAGATTTCTGATGCATTTCTGATGCATCATTACTTAATTGGTTATTTTGCAAATAAGATTTATACATGTCCAGGCTGCCTTGTCAATTGCTTCTAAGATGCTCCATCCATAATTTACTCAATTTCCGTTCTAATGTATTTTGTTTCTCAAACGAACATCCCTGTGGGTGGCGGACGCCAAAGGGATTAGGTTGTTTTTGTTGCATTATGTCACGGTTTAGCGCCTTGCTGCAAATCGATGTGAAAAGCATGCCGCATTCTCGTTTTCTATTCTCTCGAAGGTTGAACGACCAAAAAATAAAAAAGCACTGGGGAACTAACTATTCTGTTCACAGAGCAGCTTTGACGGAGCATGAGAAGGAGAAGAAGAAGAAAAAAAAACAACACTTGTACCTTTCACCGGTGCTTTGATATGTCTGTTTTCTTGCGACTTTAGAAAGGGGAAAAAAAAAATGAAATGTACATATGCTTATTTTGTATAACTTTGCATGGGTTGAAATAAAATGCATCATGCATGGCCAATACTTGTGAATTTCAATTTACTTACATCAACACTACGCTCGTACAGTACATGAGTAATTTGAGACACAACATACAGTAAGTGTAGTACAGGTCGGAAGAACTAAGCAACTTTGGATCTAAGGTTCCCAAAGCTTTCCACTGTGATGGTAGACTTAATCCACATGGAATTCATTGCCATTAACATCTCCATTATTGTAGCGTGCGACGACCAGGATGGTAGAACGGTCCCACCAGTAAATTGAATAAAATTTCCATCAGTCAACTGAGTGGAACAGTATCATTAATGCTCGGAGAACTCTCTCAAGCCGTGGCAAACCAGTTCAATGTGTGTGAACAGATTATATATTAAACACTTAATGGATTTAATGGTGGAGGGCACTTTTGACTTGCAATCCTCTGGGATCTGATCCAGTCCAAAAAAAACGACTACTGTTACAGTCTCATTCCGATGACTCAGAATTTCTAAAATGAAATGTGGTAATTTCAGGCCAGTCGCTATCGGGCAATAGCTCCCAATCTGGTGAAACCTGCAAGTGGGGAATGGAAACAAAATCACGTTGGTGCAACATTGGCTCCTGCTTTAAGGTTGGGGTTAAGAAGCATTGTTGGAGCATTGAAGGGCGTTATATAAATGCAAATTGTTGTTGTTGTAGAGGTAGAGAGAAGACCGTGTCCAAATTGGTCCTGAGGGCTTCATAATAAACCAGCCTGTGAGTTACCCAACTGCCCGAACCTTGGATTATTTGGCAAGAGAGAGAAATACATCCAGATATAAACTACCTTACAACTGGAAAAAGAGAAAACTTTTATGATAATAATCCTATCCTATGTTAATAATAATAATAAGAGCCTAAGCGCTCTGAGATGCTACCTGCGTGGAGAGCGCTATAGAAGTGCAAGTTGCTGTTGTTATCACTTCTTCGAGACGTCTCAAAGCGCTTCACAGAACATACTGTTAAGAGAATTGACTGCATATTTTGTGGGCGAAACGCGGCAGCTAATTGCGCACAGCAGTGTCCCCACAAACAGCCGTGGACAAAAAAGGAAGTTACGCAAAGATATTGCTTAAAGGGACCAAGATTTTTTTGTTTAATTCGTGTTAACTTGCTGTATTCTCACTGTCCATAAACAATATAAGGACGACAAAAAACAACTGGCCTAAGTTAAGGAGGGGGAAGAGACGTACAGACAGACTAGAACCCTATAGAGTCAGCAGCT